TGACTTATAAACATCAACTCCATCACAGTCTGACAGCCCAGCCGGTCCCAAACAATGTAATCCTTCAAGGAATATCCCAGTGACTAGTCCTGGCTAGGAGAGTACTGAGAAAGCAGGCCACCAGCCCATGCACAAACACATTCAGAGCTTGGCTGGCAAAGATCCTGCACAGATTCTGTCTGCTGCCTCACTCCTGAAAAACTCTGCCAACAAAAACCCCAACACACCTCCCGCGGCTTTTAATCAACAGTCCACAACCCCTGTATGACAGTGGCCCAGTGGGAAACTGCACCTCTGCTAGCTATCTCACAGGTCAGGTATAATTAAATGCAAGACAGTACAACCCAAATAGATTTCGGGACCACACAGTGACAAATGACCACTAGAACTCACATTAAAAGGTCTTTATAAACAGCCTACGGACAGTGTGTGGAAATGATTAGTCAGAGAGCACATGCTGTAAGACTCTCATGGCACCTCTGGTGCTCATAACGGGAACTGGAAAATATATATTATTATTTATATAGCACAAGCAAATTCCCTAGCGCTGTACAATTGATATATATATCCTTTTATCATGTTTATCGTATCAACAAATCAGCAACACAGTCTAAATATCTTCTCAAAAAACGTTTGATGCATGGAAACAGGTTACCCCAGGGCTTTTACGATTCACCAATGGCTTTTTCAGCCGTGTTACGTAAAAGTCTGTCGCCATGGACTCAGGCCTGTGGTTCCACTCTGCTCCGGTACGTAGATGACCTTTTGCTGTGTAGTCCTGACAGAGACTCCTGCCTAAAAAACACTCTCAGCCTCCTTGAACACTTACATCAAGTTGGCCACAAGGTTTCTCCTGCTAAAATCCAGTTCTGCCTCCCCAAGTTTAAGTACCTCGGCTTGCTGCTCAGCCAAGGTTAACGGGCCCTTGCTCCAGACCGAGTGCAGGCTCACACCTGCCCAGACCACACAACAAAGCTACCATGTTGTCATTTTTGGGGATGAATGCCTACTGCTGTCAGTGGATTCTGTTCTCACTGTTCTCACTGGAATCACATACTACGCTCCTGCACCTCCCAGGATACCCCTGACACCATACAGTGGACATCCACACTCTATGAAGCCTACCTAAACCTTTAAATAGCCTTGTGCACAGCTCCACCCCTTGGCCTTCCAGACTACACAAAACTGTTTTACCTTTATTGTACTGAGCGTGGGGTGACTGTGGCTGGTGTTCTGGCCCAGAGCCATGGTTCGGGATACTGTCCTATTGCCTTTTCCTCAAAAGTCCTACCAATTATTGTACAGGTTATGCCGGCTTGCCTTAGGACTGTCGCTGCCAACGCAATGATGGTAGAAGCAACTCAGACAATTGTTGTGTCTTACCCCCTCACCTTACACAGATCCAACCAAGTCATCCAAGTGTTAAATGACATCACTACACAACACATGACATTGCAGCGCAGGTCAGGGTATGAGGCAATTCTTACAGCCACGCAGAATCTTACTGTCAAGTATTCACCCCCCTCCTCTGGTCCTGCCTTTCTACTCTCTAACCTAATTTC